CACAGAGGAATCAAACTAAACGAGGTGCAAACAGGTGAAAATGATGATAACAGGACGAGGAACAGGTGGCTGATTGGGGAGTGAGTCCGGGAGTAGAAACAAAAGGATCCGGGGAAGTGTAGTGCAGATGACGAGACAGACTGGTGCAGACGGAGGACTGTGACAGACTTAGAGGATTCAGAGAGGTCTAAAGTCATTTATTGCCATTTATTACACAGAGACACACACACACACACACACACACCACTCCACCATGCATGGGGGAGAGAGAATCACAGGGAGATCTTCACAACTTTAAACTCATCTTTTGTAAACCATCCATGTATTGTATGGACATCTTAGGAAGTACTTTGTCGACCAGCTGGAAAAAGTAAGATGGTTTTATTTTTGATAGACTCTTAGTCAACTTATAATCTATAAAACATGTATTATTTTACAATGAATCATAAAGCATTTTATTGATATTCTTTTTAAACGAACCATGGTTTTAACTTTAGATAGTGAGGAAAAGTTTGAACTTTATTCTAACTGTTTCAGCACAGGATGCGGAAATGTAATGCTGTTACAGACACACAGACAAACACACAGACAGAAAAACACACGCTCACAGATGCTGCTGTTGATGAGAGGTTTTTCACATCTTGATGGAAATAAAGGAAGATGCTTTTTCACATTTAAATCTAAATGTTTTTCCTTATAATCTATAAAACACGGTTTCATTTTTTAGCTCGTGTAAGATTTTTTCTCTGGGTGAAGGAATGTTCAGCCATCTCACACCCCGACTGTCACAGAGGCCGAAGGCCGGTGAGAGAATCAGAGGGGGGTCATCAGCACTCAAGTAAGCCGCTTTTATTTTACAGATCATATTGTGATACGGGCTATATTAGAAAATTATTCCATCATGCTACTCAGATCGATCTCGGGGGTTTTAGGTAAGGATAAAGCGTCCATACTCATGTTTCCCTCTGTGAATTCTGTAGAACAGAGACCACCCATTTTATAGACGGCTTTTCTGGTATGGGAGGGGGGCTACATCAACGATAAAACCAGACAACTGTCAACCAGGGTCAACCTGTCCATTTTGATCGATCGCTTCCTGGGGTCACTAAGGGGACAAAACCATACATGTTCACACACATGTTTTTTGGATTAAAAAAGGTCATCCGGTCAAAACCACAGATGTTCACACACACATGTTTTTTGGATTAGAAAGGTCATAGGTTAATCGATATTCCAGAGATGGAACGCGAAAGGTCAACGGGTCAACACCACCTGTCCATTTGATTGATCGTTAGGTCAAAGGTTAATCGATACCCCAGACATGGAATTCAAAAGGTCAAAGGTTTATGACTACTTCAAAGATCACATCCGGAAGGTCAAAGGTCAGCTCCGCCCACCTGTCAATCAAAAAAGCCATAAATCATTTTGACACATGGTGCCCTATATTACTACTAATCATAACAAATTCAGTTCATAAATATACCTCAACTGCCGTATTTTGTAATGACGTCAGTGACCATTGTGCAGTCGCTTGTGTAAGAAATACAAAAATCCCCAAGGCAAAACCACGCATCATCCTAAAAAGACATTTTAAAAACTTTGAACAACAGGCTTTTCTGCATGATCTGTATCACAGTGATCTTAACAGGGTGTCTTTGTTTTCAGATGCTGAAATGGCATGGGATTTTTTTCATTCAATTTTCATTTCCATTGTAAATAAATATGCACCAATCAAAAAGTTTAGGATCAGTGGTAAGGACAACCATTGGTTCTCAGACAGCCTATCAGAGTTAATCTGTTTGAGAAATAAAATGTGGGCACAAGCTAGATTCTCCAACTCTTCTGCTGATTGGACTGCATTTAGAACTGTAAGAAACAAGTGTACTTTGATGATTAGAAAGTCTAAATCTGACTTTTATCTGAAATCAATCACAGAAAACTTAAACAACCCTTTAAAGTTTTGGAAAACAGTTAAATCTTTGTCGGGTACATGTGTGACCTCAAACCTCCCTGAACAGATTCTCAGTGGTCCAGAGGAAATAAAAGACAAAGCAGCCATAGTCAATCAGTTTAATAAACACTTTATTCAAGCTGGATTCTTATTTGATCAAACCGTAAATAAATCTGTCCCATGCCCTGCATGTCAGCATCTGAAAATGTAAATCGGGATTTTTTTAATTTTAAACCAATTTCAGTATCAGAAGTTTATAAAGCCCTCAGAGATCTCGATCACAAAAAGTCAGCAGGTCCAGATAATTTGGATCCCTTTCTGTTAAAAGTAGCAGCTGATATTATTGCTGAGCCTATAGCGCATATTTTTAATCTGAGTCTTCTTTCCAACTCTATTCCCAAAAGTTGGAAAGCAGCCTATGTCCTCCCTTTACATAAAGGTGGAGACCCATCAGAACTGAATAATTACCGTCCAATATCAAAACTCTCTGCTCTGTCAAAGATCTTGGAATCATTTGTGAATGTACAGTTAAAACACTATTTAGCTGACCAAAACATTTTAAATAATTTTCAGTCAGGGTTCAGAAGTGCAGGGTTCAGGGTTCCATAGCACTATCACTGCTGCTACATTAGTGATAAATGATATTATTGGGGCCTTAGATAAGAAGCAACATGCTGCTGCATTATTTGTTGATCTTTCTAAGGCATTTGATTCAGTTGATCATGGATTGTTATTGACAAAATTACGGTCAATTGGTTTAAGTGAGAAGGCTGTTGCATGGTTCCAAAATTACTTTGTTGATCGTACTCAATGTGTTTACGCTGAAGGTTATAAATCAGATTTTCTTGAGATAACCAAAGGTGTCCCTCAAGGATCAATCTTAGGACCCATTCTGTTTTCAATTTTTATAAATGACTTGGATAGAGATGTTCAAGCCAAATTACATTTGTACGCTGATGATACAGTGGTTTACACTCAGGCTTCCACCATTTTAGCAGCAGTGCAGGAACTTCAGACTGCATTTCAGGCATTGCAAAGCACATTATTGAGTCTAAAACTGGTTTTAAATACACAGAAGACAAAGTTTATGGTCTTCTCAAAAGCTCGATGTAAAGAAAAAGAACCGCACTCTCTAGTTAAATCTCATGAAGATTTATTCATTCACCATGTCCACATTTATTCATTCACATGTCTCAAAAGCTCGAACACAACTACCTGACAACTGTGGCCTCTTGTCCTTAGATGGGAAATCAATTGAGAGAGTGTCTTCATACAAATACTTGGGGATATGGATAGATGAAAAGCTTTCCTTTAATGAACATATTTCTGTTTTAGTCAAGAAACTTAAAGTCAAGCTTGGCTTCTATTTTAGAAACAAATCTTGTTTTACTTTTAGTGCTAAGAAGAAACTTGTGGAAGCTACTTTTCTGTCTGTAATTGATTATGGAGAAATATTGTACATGCATGCTGCATCTTCCATCTTGCGCCATGTAGATTCAGTTTACCATGCATCACTACGATTCATAACAAATACAAAGTCCCTCACCCATCACTGCATTCTTTATGATTTAGTTGGTTGGACATCACTTAAAATTCGTCGACAACAGCACTGGTATATCTTTATTTATAAAGCTATACTTGGCAAACTTCCACTGTACAGTACCTCTGTAACCTCCTCTCTGTCTGCTCCGGTACCTATCAGCTACGCTCCTCGAAGTGGTTGCTTTTTAACGTGCCACGAGTTGCAACCGAATTGGGAAGAACTGCTTTCTCTTATTTAGCACCTTGGGGGTGGAATAATCTACAAAAAGAGCTAAAGTTAGAAACCCTTATGTCCATTAATGAATTTAAAACTACTGTAAAGAGTGTTGTGATGGAGACATGTTCTTGTTTTTCTTGAGTATCATTATGTTCTTAACTTAACTTAATTGTGTTCTTAACTTCTTTTATCATGAAAATGTAACTTTTATTATGTATAATATGGTGTTTATTATCTATGTATGTGTTGTGTTTTGGCTGCTACCTTGGCCAGGTCTCTCTTGTAAAAGAGATTCTGAATCTCAATGGGACTTCCTGGTTAAATAAAGGTATAATAATAATGATGTTCATGTAAATATAAATTGTATTACATGAACAATAAAAGATCCTTGTAACAATGATTATAATCATTGTTACAAGGATCTTTTATTGTCACGTGGACTGGGTGTAAGGCATGCAGATAAATATGTGTTTATCTTGGCACATTTTGTTTAACAGGTGCTTGTGTGGTAGATGTGAGGCTATGCCATCAGCAGTGGAGAGTATGTGCTGTAGGGAGGTCGACGCTTATTGGTCCCTTGTCCAAAACCTAGATCCCCCAGAAGATATTACCTGCCTCACACTCCATCCAGGGTTTGAAGCATCCTGTTTGAATCCTTTTGTCCTGCAGATAGCATACTTGAACTTCAGACAGGAGCATGGCCCTCTCCAAGCCAGCAGGCCAGAGTATGTTTTGAGCAAAAATGATTTTTCACTGCAATTTAAAGAACCAGCTTTTCTACACCAAAATAGTAAATCCTGTTAAGCAGGTTTTTAAACTCAGTCTCAGTGGTTTCCATATACTTAATATAAAAACAACTTTGGTGTTGTGTAGTACAGTAGAATATCAGCCAACAGGACATTAAAAACATTTACCATTGGAATTGTTTACTATGAAAACATGGTATGATCAAAATGTAATTAGGTCCCAATCTCCACCACAGGCAGTTCCAATACACAGCATACAGGCAGGTTGTCTGTTGGGCGTATGGAATACTAGGCCGGGACATTAGGAAAGCCATACCTTCATGTGTTGTGTCAGCAATAAGGAGGCAGTTTGCAGAGGAGGGACAAACATACAAAGGATTCCAGTGGCCCCACTTGGAAGACGATTAATAAATTCAAAGTGAAACAAACTGTATTGGTCTAAGTTATCTTTTATTACGTGTTAAAACGCGAGTGTCGTGCGAGATGGAGGCTGACTGCCTCATCCTTGGGAACCTTCTGGAGGGAATTGGTGAGAGGGGGCGGGGCAGCAGAGGACAAGACAGCACTGCTTTCTTGTAGGGCCTGTGGTGACTTGGAGTATTCCTCTACCAGAGAGACCATAAGTTTTGTTGCGTATCCTTGAGGAGAGATGTTTAGAACATATTTAATAACATGGTTGACTCACATAAAAGATATTGAGATACTAAGTAAAACTACTAACTGTAAGATGGTTTCTCCTTGATGGGGTGGACTACCCAGCCACCTTTCCGAAACCGCGGGTAGCGAACGGCATAGTGTGCCTCACCCTCACTGGTTTAAGCTACATCTCTGTTGCCATTACGATTGTAATGTAGGGCTGCCAAGAGAAGTCTGTAGGAGATAAGTTGATAATCCAAAGCTAACCCAATGCAGTGAAATGCAACAGAAATACATGACATTAATGTTTTCAGTTCAAATGGGTCTAAGACAATGACTCAACTTTGCAATTATTTTTTTTGCAAAAAATATGTAATGCTGTTATCAATCAATAACACTTTGGGCTGCTATAAAAGACTGCATTAGTTTTTAGCCATATTCATTCTGTCATCATTTACCTGCTACAAAAGTATTGCAATATCCTGAATTTTTTTTTTTTTTTTTTGTACTGGGCAACGATTAATCGCATCCTAAATTAAAGTTTGTGTTTACATAATATATGTTTGTGTACTGTGTATATTTATATATATAAATATATACACATGTATATATTTAAGAAACATTTGCATGTATATACTGTATATTTATACATAATATTATATTTATCACGGGAGATTTGTAACTAATTTGCGGTATTACTAGTGGCCCAACACAACAGATAGATCAATAGATAAACTCATCTTTCAGGCAGTTGACCGACCCATAGCTGTCAACATCAAAGGGAGATTTCCCGGGAACCATCCCCAAAATAAGGTGTTTTTTTCCTCACGATTCTTACTCACAAACTTTAAAAATAAAGCACTATTCAAAAAGTCTAAAGAGTTTAGAACTAGCCCACATATGTGTGAGAAAGAGCACTGTGTCATTAAAAAAATACCATAGAGAATGTTTAAAGGTGCCATATGTAATAATTGAGGTAAAAATATCCAAAAAAGGAGCTACACGCATCAAAAGAATGAGAAGAAATAAGTGCAATGATGTAATTAAAAAACTGATAAGTTATAGTGCTGCCGAGATATAAACCTAAATTAGCATGCTAAATGACTAGCCCCGGCCCGGCAGGTGTCGTAATACCAGTTCCGGCCATGGGAGGCGGTATGCGGCCGGGCAACATTACCACCAGCCAAACTGCAGTACACGAGTGAGTCGCGCTCGCGCCGGCTTGTGTGTGTACTTGAACCTGATGTCAGTCGTGTGGAAATACAGCCCATTACTACATTTCAGTTCAGGGAAGAGTTCAAAAAATGATTGGTTGACATTATGCATGAGGAATACATTTTGGTAAGTTGTAGCATACTGTATCTTTCAACAGTGTTCGGGTTCTTTTTCCATTAGCTAGTAGAGATGATCGGTTCACGTGCGCTAGGGATCTGTGGTGTAACATGTACAAGCGCCAAAACGGTATTTATTGTTTGAATTGCATAATAAAATTGACAGAATCTGAGAGCTTAAAGAAACACTCCGACTTTTTGGGACTTTAGCCTATTCACCTTACCCCCCAGAGTTAGATAAGTCCATACATACCTTTTTCATCTCCGTGCGTGCTATAAGTCTGTTTGACGCACCCACCGCTAGCCTAGCTTAGCACAAAGACTGGATGTGAATGGTTGCAGCTTTCATACTAATCCAAATGAGTGTCAAAATAACGCAAACGTTTTCCTATTTATATGTTGTGGTTTGTATAGTCACAGAGTGTGCAAATATCAAGGCCATATGAGACACAGACATCTTTTAACCATATAAATACTATATTTTCTGAAGGCGAAGCACTGCTACTTGGGCAGAGTGATAACAATCACCTGAGACGCACCGTGACGAGGAGCAGAGAGTTCGCTTCGCTCAGTGTTGGAATAAAGAGTCAGCAATTACTAACGTTAGATAGAAAAGCATAGTTTATCATGGGTGTTTGCTTTATTGTATGAGCTGTGACAATAAACAGGGGAGACCAGGTAATACAGTACCATGTTTCATTGATTTCCAACCAAAAACGCACCCAGATTTATAAATATCACATGAATAAATAATTATTATTACAGGAATCAATATATTTTAAATGCAATTTATTAGCTGAACCAAATATATTCAACAGTATATAATATTACAGTAAAATTGCATTACTATAGGATAGAATAAGGGGAAAGTAATAGCACAAATTGTTTTTGCACAATGAACTCACAGCCTATCGTACCCTTTTGCACGCTCAAGTTCGTTATTTCCATGGTTATTTTAAATTTAAGCTACTAGGCGCGCCGCGCGCAGGGTGCAAGTTCAACGCGGTGAACGCACTCGTTTTTTTCCGAGCGCGTCCGCATCGCATCAAGATAAAAACATATTCATACCCTAATCATATAATAGTGTCACTAACGTTATTAGCTCTAGCTAATGGCACTGTTACAGTAGTCATCTAAAAACACTTACCTCAGCCGCAGGTGATCCACTTGTCCTGTCTGTGCTATAGATGGGATGGCCGTATCCTTCAGCACATTATATGGTCCGTGTGGCAAATTCCATTTTTTCAAAATAGTCGTCCATTGAAATGTACCGAGCAAACATAATGTCCCTTGATAATCTATTTAGGTGTGTTTGGATCAATATCCAGAGTAAGTTAGCCATTTCTTCATCCAGTCAGCGTTTTTAGTTGGAATTCTGTGAAACATGGTATTACCTCCCCTGTTTACTGTCACAGCTATTTACAATAGAGCGAAAACCCATGACTGTAAACTACGCTTTTACTATTTATAAATTGCTGACTCTGTTACCCAAACACTGAGCGAACTCTCCGCTCCTTACCACGACGTGTCTCCGGTGATGCGGTTCACTCCGCCAAAGTAGCAGTGCTTCGCCTTCAGAGAATAGTTCCCAGGTTTTATACGGTTAAAAGATGTCTGTGTCTCATTTGACTTTGTTATTTGTACATTATGTGACTATACAAATCACAACATGTAAATAGGAAAACAATTGCGTTATTTTGCCACTCATTTGGATTACTATGAAAGTGCAACCATTCACATCCAGACTTTGTGCTAAGCTAGGCTAGCGGTGGGTGCGTCAAACAGACTTATAGCACGCACGGAGATGAAAAAGGTATGTATGGACTTATCTAACTCTGGGGGTAAGGTGAATAGGCTAAAGTCCCAAAAAGTCGGAGTGTTCCTTTAACTAACCTGCTTGCTAAGTGTTAATTGCATGTGTCTCACGGTGAATTCGTGAGAGCTGGCAGCTCTGAATTTCGCTAGGTTGATCAACATCAGCGAATGCTGTCTGTCAAATTAATTCAAACTAACAATAAAAGTGTAATATGAACAAAACGAATACCGTGAACTTAAAATAATAGCCTGCAGGCTTTTATTTTCCCATATCGTCGAAATGCACCAGCTTGTTTTTGAGACAGGCGTCTATGAGTCGGTCTTCATCATTTAGTGTTGAGATGTTGTTCATTTAGTCTCTGATCTCTAAAAATCTCCAAATGCTCGACGTGAAACTGCGGTCTTCCGACCTTTTACTATCGTGTCAAATGATTTGAATAATATGCGGAGAAAGAGAGCAAAACAGCGCTCGTTTGTGTTGTTTGAAGACGTGAGTGCGTGCGGCAGCGGCACAACACATTTTCTGGAGGTATACTGCCCCCATCTGTTATGGAATATGGAATATTTTTTGATTTTTAGTTCCAGATGGCACCTTTAAATACTACGATCAGCTTACGAGGGAAACGGGGAGGCTGCTTCTGCTGCCTGGAGATGATTGGGAGAGGTCTCTGCACCTTGAGGTCTCTGCGCGCGCTGACATGGAGTAAAGCCTTGTTTATACTCGATGCGTCTGCACGAGCGCGGTAAAAATGACGCGTTGGATGCGCAAGACCGGCAAGACCTCACTTCGAGCTGTGTGCAAAGCTTGTGTTACAGCGCGCGCGGAACCGCATCCGAGGACGATCGACTTCGAGCCGAATCTGTCCGAGCTTGTACGTCTCACACAATCAGAGTGTAAAAATACGAGATATTTTACGGGAAATACTAACATGGGAAGACAGTAAAAGAGCTAAAATACGTGAGAAACCCGGAAAAACGGGAGGGTTGACACTTCAGCGTGAGAAATCAGGGGTGTGGCGTGTGAGCGTGTGAAACCAATCAAATGCGGGTGTCTCACGGCCAATGCGTGAGAGTTGGCAGCTATGGGTTACATATTGATAAAACCAAACTAAACTTAACAAGCACTGAAAAAAGTTTAGCTTCAAAACATTTGACATCTTTTAACATAGGCTACTATGTTGTACCTGGTTCAAGCCACTCCTTGTTTCTTGCCTCTCCTTCCAACGGTGGATGTGCGCAGCTGGTAAATGCAGGAGTGCTGTGTTCATGTATGTCCTGTACATGATTTATCATACTCTGCCATTTTGCCTGCATCTCATCTGGATCTCCTGTAGGGGTGGAAGCAGCGGTCCAGTAGAGATGGTTGATAATGGCTGGCCTCCACAGCTTCAGATCCTCACAGTCCCTCTCTTTTGCAGCAGCATCCAGTGCTTTCTGTACACCTGTTCCAGAGCAGAGCAAACTAATTACACAAAACTAATCTGTTATATAGAACTACCAACATCACAATACATACTTTTCCCAATATGCCAGACGTCAAAGAAATGCGTTGTTCCTTCTGAACACATTTTCTCACGTACCCACTTGGCCACCTAAAACAAAGAACACACAAATTGATTTTATATAATTTAGAATTTATTTTGAGTGATCATGTGCATGTCAATACTGTTCAGCTTTAGATCTCTCCTAGCATCATTACCTGCCGATTTCTGTCTGTTATCAGAGCAGACACTTGCATGTCTTGGTCCATCAGGAACTGCATACTCCGCTTTAGACCCTCTAGCTCACACCAAGAGCTGCTTGGGACTTCTGAGCTCTGTAAAACCAATTGATTATTACTGAACAGTATCAGTAATATCAGTAACTAAATCAGACACAAGATTTCTGTGTGACATCAACTTACTTGGACAAGTTGAACATCCAAAACTTTGTTAATTCGATCCTCAATCAAGGAGTAGCTACCATATTTGGCACAGTGTCCAGGAGAATCTGATCTAAGAACGTCAAAAACAGTTACATTTAGAGGTTAATGCAAAAACACACTGGCCTGTTCTACATCAGTGACATGAGCTGGATCATTCTATCTGCAGTCACCAGACAGGATCAATCCACCTCCAGTCTCCTTCAACTTCCTGATGATCCCCCTCTGCTCATTCCTCCAGGCCTGCACGATAGTAGGGATAGTGTAATAGCGCTGATGGCGGAAAAAAGTGCCGGGACTTATGCACTGCAGTCCAAACAGCTTTAGCATCCTGATGGTCTGAGTAGCCATGCAACCTGAGAAGTGGATGGCACCGCTGAGTAAAAGGTTGCAGGCAGGCATGTTTCGATGCACCTTTTCTTGGTTTTGCCAGTAACGCTCATAACCACAAGTTCCGCAGGCCTGAAAGATGAGAGAAGATTCAAGACTCAAGCAGCTTTAAGATGAGGCAGTGAAATGCCTGTATAGTTAAGATACAAATTATTAATGTACATACTGTACATTCACAATCAATAATTCAGCTCCTCACAGACAGTTGACAATTAAGACATTACCTGCTTAACTTTTATGAAGGTTCCTTCCGGGTGCATTATGTGTCCATGGGTTTCCCCACAGCATGCAGGGCAAACCGTGAACAAGGACAGCAACTGCCTCTGGCAAACAATGAACTTGTCAACAGCACTGAAAACAAGAAAAGGAAAAACACATTAATTCTGACTGACATTTTTGATACACAACCAGAAACAGTTTCCATTAATAAAAAGGTTTTTACTTCGGGTCACTGAGAGATTCCAGCTCTTCTGGTTCATCCTCAGACGACTCACTCAACATCTCCTCCCCTGGACTCCATGACATATCCCCAGAATGGTTGATGATATATCAGAAAATGACCATTCATCATTACTTTGTTCAGGACTGGCCAGAGGAGTTGATCTGCAATGCTCAAACCTTTCGGTTTGAGTCCCCATATCTACCATCTGAGGCTTTACCAGAAAAGCTTAAATGAAAGAGATTAATCTAAGTAATGGTTCACCATTGTACAAACCCAATTCCATAAAAGTTGGGACACTGTACAAATTGTGAATAAAAACAGAATGCAATGATGTGGAAGTTTCAAATTTCAATATTATATTTAGAATACAACATAGATGACATATCAAATGTTGAAAGTGAGACATTTTGAATTGCCATGCCAAATATTGGCTCCTTTTGGATTTCATGAGAGCTACAAATTCCAAAAAAGTTGGGACAGGTAGCAATAAGAGGCCAGAAAAGTTAAATGTACATATAAGGAATAGCTGGAGGACCAATTTGCAACTTATTAGGTCAATTGGCAACATGATTGGGTATAAAAAGAGCCTCTCAGAGTGGCAGTGTCTCTCAGAAGTCAAGATGGGCAGAGGATCACCAATTCCCCCAATGCTGAGGCAAAAAATAGTGGAGCAATATCAGAAAGGAGTTTCTCAGAGAAAAATTGCAAAGAGTTTGAAGTTATCATCATCAACAGTGCATAATATCATCCAAAGTTTCAGAGAATCTGGAACAATCTCTGTGCATAAGGGTCAAGGCCGGAAAACCATACTGAATGCCCGTGATCTTCGGGCCCTTAGACGGCACTGCATCACACACAGGAATGCTACTGTCATGCCTGACTTTGCTGTGTTAGGTGTGCTCACTTCACCATGAACAGAAGATGTTGGGCCGGTCTTCTACTCCCAGCCTGAAGAGGGAGCTGTTTGTTTCCGGTCCACCAGACAGCAGCTGATGGGAGGGACTGTTTAAAAGCATCTCCTGCCAGTTGTTTGGTCTGCTCTGTGCTGTGCGTCTCGGCTTTGTTCGGGCTGCCAGGCACCAGGCAGTTTGCTTTGTTTGCATTACACATAGTTTACACTTTACTGATCTGCACTACATTTTGATTAGTTTTCTCTTGTTTCTCATACACTGACTTAATGCATTTCTTGATTTGAATTATGATTTCATTTCATCATTTAATGTTTAAATAAACTATTTTTTGATTTAACTTTACAAACGGTGTGGTCTCCCCTATGTCACTGCTACTGTGAGCTAGGTAGACGTGACATATGGGGGCTCGTCCGGGATAAAAAACCTGATCATACATACAGATTTTGCACGGATTACAGAAAAGTGAATGGTGTAACGAAACCAGATTCGTATCCATTGCCTAGGATAGAGGATTGTATTGATCAAGTTGGTGCGGCTCGTTATGTGAGCAAATTCGACTTGCTTAAAGGTTACTATCAAGTTCCTCTTACTCCTAGGGCACAAGAGATCTCTGCTTTTATTACACCGTCAGGACTGTATTCTTATACGAGGATGGCTTTTGGTTTGCGAAACGCTCCTTCCAGTTTCCAGCGGCTCATGAATCGAGTTGTTGCAGGACTGGGTGCGCTGTGTATATTGATGATGTGGTCTGCTACTCAGACACCTGGGAGGTCCACCTTGCCCGTATACGTTCATTATTTGAACGGTTGGTGGCTGCAAACCTTACTGTAAACTTGGCAAAGTGCGAGTTTGCACGGGCTACGGTAGTGTATTTGGGAAAGGTGGTAGGACAGGGCAACGTTCGCCCAGTGAGAGCAAAAGTCCTGGCCATTGACAAATTCCCACGTCCGGTCACTAAGAAAGAATTGATGCGCTTCCTTGGTATGATAGGGTATTACAGGAACTTCTGTTGCAATTTTTCATCTGTCGTTGCCCCATTAACTAACCTGTTGAAGGGTTCAGTTAAATTCAATTGGACTGCTGATTGTCAACACGCATTTGAAAACGCCAAGTCTCTTCTGAGTTCTGCACCTATTTTGGCTGCTCCTAGGCTTGAGGAGCCTTTCCAGTTACAAGTGGATGCCAGCCAGGTTGGGGCAGGTGCTGTTCTCCTTCAAAGAGATGACAACGGAATAGATAGACCAGTTTCCTATTTTTCTCGGAAGTTTAATTGTCATCAATTTAACTATTCGACAATCGAAAAGGAGGCACTGGCCCTTATTTGGGCACTCCAACATTTTGATGTTTATGTTGGTGGAGGGTTACACCCTGTGGTGGTCTTTTCTGATCACAATCCTCTTACGTTCCTCTCTTCTCTTCAGAATGCGAACCAGCGCCTTATGCGTTGGGCTTTGTTTCTACAGCCTTATAATCTAACTATTAGACACATCAAGGGGTCCGAGAACGTTATGGCTGATGCCTTGTCACGGGGTCTTGATGACTGTTAAGAGGTGTCTATCTTTTCTCCAGTCTCTGGTTCTTTTCTCTTGTCTCCGGTCTTTCCATTCTTAAATTGCTATCCAGGCGCCAGGATTTGCTGAGTGGGAAGGAAGGGGTTGGGAGGGGGGGGGGGGGGGGGGTTGATGTATTTTTTGTAGTGGCTGTTGTATTGAAGAGTTGGGTAAAATAGAGTGGGGTTAAATTTAACATTAGTCTTTTGTGGTACTGGTTAAAAGGGTAATGGGTTTAGTTAAAGTTTTTTGATATAATTTGTTATTGGGTTTTTATTTTTAGTATTGATTATGGGAAATGGGAGTGATGAGTAGAAGTTAAAATGACAGAGTCCCATATGGGTCATATCATGCCTGACTTTGCTGTGTTAGGTGTGCTCACTTCAGCATGAACAGAAGATGTTGGGCCGGTCTTCTACTCCCAGCCTGAAGAGGGAGCTGTTTGTTTCCGGTCCACCAGACAGCAGCTGATGGGAGGGACTGTTTAAAAGCATCTCCTGCCAGTTGTTTGGTCTGCTCTGTGCTGTGCGTCTCGGCTTTGTTCGGGCTGCCAGGCAGGCAGCAACTCCACCATATTTTCTTTTGCTTTGTTTGCATTACACATAGTTTACACTTTACTGATCTGCACTACATTTTGATTAGTTTTCTCTTGTTTCTCATACACTGACTTAATGCATTTCTTGATTTGAATTATGATTTCATTTCATCATTTAATGTTTAAATAAACTATTTTTTGATTTAACTTTACAAACGGTGTGGTCTCCCCTATGTCACTGCTACTGTGAGCTAGGTAGACGTGACACTACTGTAATGGAAATCGCAACATGGGCTCAAGAATACTTCCAGAAAACATTGTCAGTGTACACAATCCACCGTGCCATTCACCGTTGCCGGCTAAAGCTCTATAGGTCAAAAAAGAAGCCATATCTAAACGGGAACCAGAAGCGCAGGCATTTTCTCTGGGCCAAGGCTCATTTAAAGTGGACTCTAGCAAAGTGGAAAACTGTTCTGTGGTCAGACGAATCAAAATTTTAAGTTCTTTTTGGAAAACTGGGACGCCATGTCATCCGGACTAAAGAGGACAAGGACAACCCAAGTTGTTATCAGCGCTCGGTTCAGAAGCCTGCATCTCTGACGGTATGGGGTTGCATGAGTGCGTGTGGCATGGGCAGCTTACACATCTGGAAAGGCACCATCAATGCCGAAAGGTATATCCAAGTTCTAGAACAACATATGCTCTCATCCAGACATCGTCTCTTTCAGGGAAGACCTTGTATTTTCCAACAAGACAATGCCAAACCACATACTGCATCAATTACAACATCATGGCTGCGTAGAAGAAGGATCCGGGTACTGAAATGGCCAGCCTGCAGTCCAGATCTTTCACCCATAGAAAACATTTGGCGCATCATAAAGAGGAAGATGCAACAAAGAAGACCTAAGACAGTTGAGCAGCTAGAAGCCTTTATTAGACAAGAATGGGACAACATTCCTATTCCTAAACTTGAGCAACTTGTCTCCTCAGTCCCCAGACGTTTGCAGACTGTTATTAAAAGAAGAGGGGATGCCACACAGTGGTAAAAATGGCCTTGTCCCAACTTTTTTGAGATGTGTTGATGCCATGAAATTTAAAATCAACTTATTTTTCCCTTAAAAATATGCATTTTCTCAGTTTAAACATTTGATATGTCATCTATGTTGTATTCTAAATATAATATTGAAATTTGAAACTTCCACATCATTGCATTCTGTTTTTATTCACAATTTGTACAGTGTCCCAACTTTTATGGAATTGGGTTTGTACATGCATCTAATGCAACCCAGTACAAAATATATTTTTCTAACATTATAAAGTTCATAATTTGTAATGTTTACTGTCTGAAAAGTGTAAATTACAAAATAGTAACCATGGAGATCATGAACAATTTTGACATGTAATCCTTATTTGTGATTGTATATGGCATGTATGGTGAAAACTAGATGTAAGCTAAATACCTAATGAACGATGTAAACATCTTATGTGATCCACGAAGGACCACTACTGGCTCAGGGTCCATTGTAGAAATGTCTCCATCTCCATCATCTTCAGGATCTGAAGTGGCAGTTGCACCCGCCCTGTCTTTGCTGGCAACATTCTCTCCCAAAATCTGAAAACAGACCAAAATTACAACTTTGAACTTTAAAAATGTAGTCATTTCATGAAAATCCCCTTTTCATGTATTATTTAAAAGACTGCTAATCTTTTCAAAGTAGTCTCTAGCTGCATCCCCTCGCATGTGCCCTGTTGATACCAGCTTTGATTAGTCAAAGAAAACCAAGGCAACTTCGTTGTAACTGAGAAAACCAGAAAACTAATATTGTATTACTTGGATGCGTTTCCAAAAAGATTATCTTATTAACTCAATAAAATAAGTGTCAGGAGGTAACTTCAGTCCTGCGCTCCCGCCCGCCGAATTTCTGACCATTACCACCCGTTCCCGCCCACCGAATTTCTGACCATTACCACCCGTTCCCGCCCGCCGAATTTCTGACCATTACCACCCGTTCCCACCCGCCGAATTTCTGAACTTTTCTGACCATTACCACCCGTTCCCGCCCGCCGAATTTCTGACCATTACAACCCGTTCCCGCAACGTATGTGTTACACTCCCGCCCGCAAATTTATTCCCGCACAATAATAGAGATGCATTGATTTTGTGTCTTATCCTGTCCCGCAGGAAAAAACACGTAACGTTATTTGTATTGCTATTATTAAACGTAACAAGAGTAAACTGACGGCGTGCCTTCGTGGTGCTAACTTCTCAAGTCAGACCAGTTAACGTACAGTCAGCAAAAGTCATGCCAAGGCTAATCAATTATAACGTCAAGAAAAATATATTTGCAGAAATTACATGCAGAGCTACATTTCGACGCAACATATAAGGTATTATAAGACTTACCGTGCAAAGCTCCCGTTTTCGACGCGCCGATTCTCTGCTAGTGCTAACGTTAACGTTAGACCCTTCACTCCTGCCAGATTTTGCTGGTGGACTTGCATGCACCGATGGCACAGCTCCATTTGCCAGCCTAACCCACTCTCTTCGTCAAAATCCCATGTGACATTCCATAAGATCTCCTTGGTTGTAGCTGTCCGGTGGGAAGTGTTTTTCACATACCACCGTGTGTCTTGTCACCGAGGAGGCAGCAAAATTGCTTCTCTTTGCCTGGACGAAACGTACCCAAGCACGAAAATCTTTGTGTTTCTTGTTTGGAAATCGGTGGACCCGATGACCAGACAAGTTAGAGTGGTTGCATCCAAAACAAACACAAGAATTAACCATTGTGACAATTCAAACCAACTCAACTATAACAATACAAGCTCTATTTTCTGTTACTACCTCTCAGACTTCGTAAACCCACACTGAGAACCAGGGCCGTAACGCCTACTTGTTTGCCTGTCCTTGCGTCATATGACGCGTTCTCTGGAAAAGGGCGTTTTTTTTTTTAGCCTAGCTTAGAATAGGTAAATTTTTTTCTTAATTTCTGCCTGTGGGTGTTGTAAAACATATGTATTCTTATGTATGTCTTTTTAAATTGACATTTTCATACAAGATTCTGTATAAATTAAAAAAAAAAATTTAATTGAAAGATGGCCTTTAATCCCCCCATCAATGGTTTTGTCCTCTTATGCAAACAGCTTGAGATTCAACTGTTGTATCTTTGCATTCAGCTTGTGCCCATCCAAATTCATTATTCAATCACAACTCCAACGTCTTCAGGCTCCTGATCCCCATCACTTCGGATCACATAAATCCCCATGACTGTGGTTTCTAGGTCCATTTCTGCATCCTCGGTCGCCGCTGCCTGAACACCACAAACACAGAAAACACAGAAAGTGTTTAATAAAGATGGACAAAGAAATAAGGGGACATAAAGTGATGAAGGGCTCCCCCCTAGTGTTGATGTCATGCTGAAGCAGGGGTGAAAAATGAGACACAATTTAGCCAAATGTGGTTGTTATGGTGACACAGGGAAGGAGCAGGTTGTCTAATTAAGATCACAGGATGCCTAACCCCTACATGCCCCCAACAAGATAGATGGTAGTTTTCTTGCATGTTTTACATTGGTGTGTGAGTGGATAAACCAAATAAAAAATATATATATTTGGATGAGAGCATTATACTAATAGGCCATTTATAAAGTGTTTAAATAAGCAACTATGGACAATAAAACCTCACAATAGCCACATTTCCACTGTCTGGCCAGGGCCGCGCCGTGCTAGTGCATGCCGGGGCCAGTGCGTTTCCACTTTCGGTGTCACTTTCGGTGGATAATGCTCAAAATAGTGATGTTTTGGTAGGAGCTTGATGTCTGGAAAGAGTTCAATATAGTGGAGTCTGTGATCATAGATTCTGCCTTCAAGATAGTTTCCTCTGTATGAACAGGAGCCACAACCAACTCAACTATGTCCTTAAGATCTATAATTACCTGCCATGCTGGCTCACCTTCTTGCAAAATGTGTCCAATCAATCAGGGAAGAAATCTGAGTAAGGCCCAATTTTTTAATGTGCATTGCCCCCTATAGTGTTGCTAGTTTTGAATAAGTGTGATATTGGATGGGGCGATTGGTTTTGTCCCCCCATTTGTATGGAAATGTCTGGATCAATTTGTTAAGGCCCATCAGGATAGCCAGTGCTTACATGAAAATGAGAAAGGCGGTCTGTTCAAACACTGTTTTTTGACACCACAGCAAATAGTTGGATTTTCCTGAGCAGACTGGACATGAACATCATGGAGGTCTCTGGTCCTGAGTGTGAAAGCACCTGGTTTTACATCTTTAGTCTGAAATTCTGATCTGCCTCCTGTACAAAACCTGTATATGGAGCCACCAGAAAAACTCTCAACAAACCCACCTATTCCGTGGGCTCCAAGATTGTCAGCACTTACACACTGAACAGTACCTTTAAAGTCCCCGTGAAATCAACATTGAACCTATTTACTTTGTTAGCGCATATTACTAGTCTTGTGGTGAACAATTAATCCGTGCAAGTAAAAATATATTTAAAAAATGTTTTACCTTGGTAATCTTTAATCAAAATCTGAAAAGTTACTTCCGGTCTGGAATGGTTTCTTTTTCTGATGACGTAGGTTTCACAGCTTGGGTGGGGAAACGCTTAACCACTCCCCTCAAACCGTTAGTTTGCTATGAGCGAGAGATGGAGAAGAGGAGCGCTAGAGTAAAACCCTGCCCTCTGTTCAATATTCCGTTTCACTTGGAAATACGTCACAGCACTGGAGAAAAATCGTTTGCAACTTCCGGTTCACGGGGACTTTAACAAACTGACCAAGCTGAGAAACAAAGACACCATGCTGTTCTATAAATGTACCCAAATCTTGCAAGAGATGCTCTAAAACTTTTGTATAGCTATAGGCCTTCACATCATCTGATTTGTCATCATAGTCAAATCATTGATAGAAATGTAATCTTGCACTTGCTCAAATACAATATTTTCCACTAATTTACTTAGAATAGGCAAGATGCTAATAGGCCTACTATTTGGACCACAGAAAGTTGATTTTGTGTCTTTGGGTAAAGGAATTGTCTTACACTCCTTCCAAAGTTTTGGACACACACCACTAATCAAACATCTGTTAAAAATGTGACAGATTGGTTTAGAAATATGTCCAGCTGATAACTTCAACAGCTGACTATCCAAGTTGTCTGTGCCAGCAGACCCACCAAATAGTTAAAGATCTCAACAACATTTGGTAATTGGAGAAGGTGACAAAAGGAGAAGGTGACAAAAGTGACTTTTGGTTGATTCATTATTGCGGTCACTATGAAGGGCATTTTTTATGTTTACAGCATGACCTAAACATTCCTGATTACTGATCCCATTACTGATGAATGGCCAGTGCTGTAGCATAGCATTTAAGGCCCCGTCCACACAAAGACGCGTTTCGCTGTATACGTATATATTTTTTATCGTATTGGCGTTTCGTCCACACGGAGCCAGCATTTCGGGAGAGTGAAACCGCTATTTTTTGAAACCGGGTCCCGGATAAATCTGAAAACGACACCCTTGTGTTTTCGTGTGGACGGCCAATCCATATATTTTGTGAAACGATGATGTCATCACCCCACGTGTCGACTAGTCAGACAACAACAACAGCCGAACTGCTTGTATAATAATATAATATAATATAATATAATGCGGCAGAAACTTCTGATTTACTTGAATGTGTTTTTCTTTTTTTAGGCCTATACAATCTTTTGTATGCTGCTTGTCTGTTGTCTGATAAAGACAGGGATGGGGATTTAAAGCAAAAATAATTTTTGACGATCGATGGGAATTATTTGATTATTTTGGCTATTCAAAAAACGCACCCCTGTAATGTTCCACTCCGACATTACATTTCTCTGTAGGTTAAGTGTGTTATATCCATTAAAGAAATGTATTTAGTTTAATATTTATGTTTAAATGTTATTTTTTATTGAATCTATGTTGATTATGAAAAGTGAACCGCGTGCATATGCGCAATAAGCTATATCGGTAGATCTAATTTTGACCACATTAATTTTGTTTTGCATAAAGCCCTCATTTGAAGTGAATTTCGTTTTTTTTTTATATAAATTGTACCTTTATTTTAATAAATGTTTCATCAACCAGTTACCTGGATTTAATAAAAGAAGCACATATAGCCTAGGCATATAATCAGGACATGGACGTCCCGGCGCAATATAACTTGCATTGCTCGTGAACTGGAGCTCGTCTTATAAAGGAACCGAAACTCAGAAATATATAGAACTCTGAAATGTCTACGTTTAAACAACATCGACAAACAACAATTAAAAACGAACAGAAACAGATACTCTCTCTTATAGCCTAATCCGTATGAAGTGCATTAGCCTACGTTACTCCAAACAATACTGCGAAGTGGCGAGTCAGCATCATCAACTTCATCTTTTCAGTCAAGAATGACACCGAAAACATTAGTTTATTGATAAATAATTAAAATGTCTATATTTGACACATTCGTTACTTTTGCCGGTTCTTTGTGGCAAGCTTTTTGAGTCCGCTAACTAATCGAATAATATGACTCCCTATTTTGTACCAGGCAATTTATGGTTGTTCAATAAAATTCTTGGTAAAAAAGAAAATAAGCAACTGTGCGTAATATTGTTTCATAGCCTTTTATTTTACTGCCTACAGCTCGAAAAGTTTTATGCGCAAGTCTTCTTCTCGCATTTTTAGTGTATCTC